ATTATAATCCCACACCATTTTTATTATTAAAAATGGTGTGGGATTATAATCATAACATGTACTGTCGGAATGATCTGATATTGTAAAATAGTTTTTTTATATGTTGCACACCGGGTGAAGGATCAGTCGTGTAACATCGACGGTCGCTCCTGTAACTACTACAGGTTCGAATCCGGCTGGTTCCGTGTTCTCCATATTCGTAGTGAAAATTGCCCAGTTTGACATATCAGGTGATCATTTGGCCGATTAATTTAGTTATTTTGCTCAAAATTGTAATTATTGCGAATTTGTCCTACACTAAAAATCAATCTCATGATCAAATGATTCGATTTTATCACAAAATTTACCAATCATAGGTTGTACATTTTAATATTAAATTTTCTGTTATCCCGTGGTTTTTAAAAGGTCATGTTTTATTTTTCATATAGAACCTAATTTGAGATTACAGAATTGTTAATATGTATAACGATATCATTAACACTATTCTAAGTCACTAGTCCTGAATTTAATTATATGATTTTTTTATAAATAGATTTTTAAATTAGTTTCATCTAATTTAGACATATATAACTAATTATAACGTTATATGATTCTATATATCTAATGATAATGAAGTTTTGATAATGAATTTTTCAAAGTTAAATCAAATATAAGAACTAAGTTTTCAGTTTGTTTTTTTTTCTTTATTTTGGCAATTCCGCCATCAATTTTGTTTAAATTATTGTAAACTAGGCGTGATCTGGATATCGATTTTTTATTGAAAAATCATTTGGCTAATTTTTATCAGGTGTCCCAGAATTTATGAAATTTTTTATCAGGTGTCCCAGGAATAATGATAATAACTGAAAAATCCGAATTTCATTCTTTTAACCGGAGCAGACCTCAATTTACAGCTATTTTCATAAATTCTGGGCACTTTTGGAAAATTGATAATGATCGAACCGACAAGTTTTTTGATGTCGCTTAACTGATTCCCGAATTTCATGGGAACAGCTATAAAAATCTTTGAATACCCAGTTGTACCTTTGATAAATCTCGCACGCAAATATAAAAAGTTCATTCACAAGTTTTCAGATAAAGGAATTAATCATTGCGGTTTTATTTGTTTATTTCTTAATAAGGCCAGACCAGTTTGATTTTCCGTTTAACATCCAATTTTTAAAAATTATAGAAACTAATACACATAATATTAAATAAACCCCTCTATTTTTCAAAATCTATATAAGTCAATACACATCAAACTAACCAAGATTGTAGCATTAATTTGTATCTAATATTATTGTGTGTGTGTGTTTTTTTTTTTTTAATTCCCCACTCTTTTCATGCAAATCATCTCATGTTAAACCGAGAATCAACTTGGCCTAAAGAGCCTAATTATAAAACTAACATCATAAAACTTTAAAAGTCACCTAACGGCCAATGCACGATATTTAGCAGATCAAAATAATATAATAATCATAACCTTCGTTACATTAAAAATCAACAAAATAATATTAAGAAAGTTCGAATCCAACGTCAGCATTAATGGCATATGATAATTTTCTAAAATGTATGTAATCAAATTTGAAATTTAATTTAAAATGCGTTATTTAAAATGGTAAAAACACGATATTTAATAAACAGATGAACATACTGCCTCAGAGTGTTTTCATCCGGATAAGCTGGTAATTTAAGCAAATTTACACATGTACTTGACGATGGCAACCTTGCACCAGTACCAGCTCTACGTATACTAAACTTTGGGTTCAGTTCTTTAAAACCAAGAAGAGGAGGTCGAGAACAAGATGTAACAAATTTTATTAATTTTTGCTTTTGTTCCTCGGAAAATTCAGATACGACTTTCCAAAAACTGATAATGACGGGATCGTCCTCTTTGTAATCAGCGTACACAGTGTTTTGTTGTAAATCTTCTATATTAATAGGAATGTACGCCCCTCCCACAAGAATTTGTAACTCTTGCTGTTCGAAATAATGGCATAAATAAAAGTTATGATAAGCCAAACAAAAATAAAAATTGAACAAACCTGATTAAACATTTTCAACCATTTAGGCTCTATTAAATCTATTAAACCACGAAAAAATGCCTGGCACTGCAAACCTATTTGAACATTTAACCTGTAATTGACCATTTTATAAATATAATTAATTCTATTGCGTTTGGTGACTGGAATGTCACTGCCTCCGGGGATTAATTCAATAGACCGTGATTTTCCAAATTCTGATATTAGGAAAAAAAAAATTTTAGTAATAATTAACCTAAAGCGAAAGACAGATTATGATAATTACCATTATCTACTACAGTAAAATTCAATGATAAATCAGACTCTACATCTCCTTTATAATTTTTCAAATAAACCAAACCCTGATACAATTCCGGATCAACAGATGGTAAATCATCCACTATCAAATATCAAATAAGTTCAAAATAAGTTTACAAGATTTTATATTAACCAAATAATTAAACATACATACAATACGACCGCTCTCCCAACCATTTGTTCAGGAAAAAACCAGCGAAAGCTGCGTCAACTAGAATTCCTTCGTATAAAGCTTTACCTAATATACGACCAAGAAACTCATAGTAACGTAATTGCGTTTCTAAAAACAAAATACAGCGTAAATTATTTATATTAAAAAATAAAGGTATGTATCGTTCAATGTTAATAAAGCTCGTTAATTACCAAGACGCGCATAACTATGCGGATTTGGATACAAAAGTTGTTCATTTGTGCTAAGGAACAACCCATACTCCGTATTAAAAGCTATTCGTGTCAATCTAGTAAAGAATTATTAAATCCTATCAGTAAAAGTCGAAATGTTCTACTGTTACGTGACTTTAAATATCCGCTTACGAGGTCAAAAATTCCTTGAATAAACCACCACCATCTATTCCAGGTTCCGGCATTCCAAATTCATCAATGAATTGAATAGCAACAGGGTTTTTCAATCTGAAACCCATGGCGTTAAGTTGGTTGAATCCATCTTCGAATATATTATTTCGGTGAATGGTCACACGCGTTCGAGGTTCAAATATGGCATGATTATGACTTGTAAATTAATTAAATTATAAAGAGTCAATAATAACAAATCGCGGTGATGTTTTACAATCTAGACAAAATTAATCATAAAAGAATATTGATAATTAATTACCGATCACGATCATTACGAACAAAATGTCTAAAAATTCTGACACGTTCATCAAAAGGTATCACAAAAGGAATATTGTGAAGGACTCCAAGGCGCGGACTAACGGATTCCTGTCGCTTGTCCATACTTACTTTATCATTTTCCCTTTCAAGATCCTGCTCTTCGGCGACAACAGTTTTGGCAAAAGTGCTCATATCAAATTCAGATGTCATTAGCCAGTGACTTTCTGGCGTGAACCGCCGGCGAGAACTAAATCCATAGAAAATATTGTTATCAAAGTAATTAAAACAAAAAAGGAAAGAAGAAAAGAACATCGAGAAGTAACGTACTCTCTTGCATGGATCTGTTTTAACAACCTGGTGGCAACTTCTCGAATATAAATAGGTTTAATGCAACTACCTTCGATAACGTTGTTTATTTTTAATTGGGGACTATTCCAATATAAAATAAAAGCTATATTCTATAAATGAAATATGAAAATTTTGGTTTAATTACTAAAATAACTAGTAAATTTTTTTATAAAATACTCATTTACCTTCAAATAGGTAGACATTTCAATAATCTCTGGTAATTTTAGAGGATTTTTGCTTCCATCAAAGAATTCGTAATCATCCATAGGAAGTAAAATTCGACTAAATAACTCGCAAAGCAAGTAAAACATTCCCCACTGTTCAACAAATGCGGTATCTAATTAAACAAAATTTCGAGTTAATATATTTTAACTTTTTCAAAATACATAGAACGAGATAGATAATCATTTTAATGGTCCAAATATACCTGTAATGAAACTATTTGATAAAGGTTGACTATTTGACAACAGTCGCGCAAGATCTGTACTTTTGAACACTTCCCATAATAAATTAATTGATAATTTGTTTTCTGATATGGAGAGCTTCCCGTACGCCATTTTACTTAACAAGCCAGATTTCTCTGAAGACCAGCGAATCATCAAAGTAGTTAAAAAGTATGAAATTTTGAGTAAAACCTTTATATTTCCAGGTTTCGCAAACGCCAATATAGATTCTAAATGTTGTTCATCGATTAATACGGAAATCCATTTTAAAATGCCCAAATCAATTTGTGGTTCTTCAAACAATCTCAGACGATCTTGAATTATTATATCATTATTGTCGACATCATCATCTTCATCATCGTCGGGATTTGCTGGTGTTCAAAAAAAAAAGTATAACGACCATTATTAATATCACACAAATATTTTAATTATATAAAATTAAATATAGGTACTTGATGTTGTCTTGTCTGCAAGTAGTTGGTCTGGTATTCTCAAAAATAGACGTTGAAGAACCGTCAAGTAGTCAGTCTATAATAATATAATCAAATTTATTAGAATAAATAAATAATAATACACTTTTCCTTGCGAAGAGTATTATATAAGGTGTTTGGGGTGTTTATTTTACTATACTGAATTTTTATACTTTCTGTAAGGTAACGTAACTAAGGAAAATCATAGATATATCATATTACATACCAATACCGAATCGTTCATTTTATTAACATCAAGACGCGTAAAGGCAAACAAATTACTCAGCAAGATACTTCCTTGTTCAGCATTCCAATCATTGCGGGCTATTGCCGGTATGATATTATACAATGGCATTCTTGAAGAAAGAATTTCCAAAGTCTCAATGCGGTCCGCTAATAGCGGTATTGTAAAAATATATTTGACGAAATCTTTAAGAGACGATTCGTATGCAAGAGCATAATGAGGATCAGAAGCAGGTATGATTTGGAATGGGTAAAGAGAGAGATTTACGATCAGTATGATCATCTGTTTATTTTTATCTTTGTTTTCGATTGCCTATTTTTTTTTTTTTTTCAAGAAGTTAGTAAGCAACAACGATGTGATTTTCTATCCACTAAAGATTGTTATTGTTATTAAATGATGCAAAACGTATTTCCTCACCAAACTTATTAACTGATTTCTTAATTCAAGATATAAATCATGATTGATAAGGTATTTTAGGAGTTCTAGTGATATTCTTCTATAATATACGCGTATTGTAAGTTAATGGTTATGTTTAAAACGCACAGATATCTCAAAGAGAGAAAAAAAAAATAAAAATAAACTATATACCCTACACGGACCTGCCACCTTCTTCTAATTGTCTATACTTATTGACGTCTACGGTCAAAAGTAAAGTATTTAAATAATCAATTATATCGGTATCACGATATCTACAGTAAATAGAGAAAATATGCGAGAATAAATAATTTGTATTATCATAATAGTTTACGCTAAAAAAGTCGCGTTTTATGATTAATTACATATATTGTGATCCGACACTTTTGAGAAATATAAGTAAAAGTTTTTTCAATTGATGAAACCAAGTATGGCGCAAATCTTCGTAATAAAATGGTACAAATATTGTTTCAACATCTAGAAACAAATTTAAAGAGGTATAAATGGTTAATTTTTATAGAAATACATTCCTCCAAGTGATAAGAAAAGTAAAATTATGCACCGAACATCTGCTTCCGCAAAATCTGACACAAACATAATTCCCGTTGGATATCACGGTTCGGTCGATAAAAAAAGAGAAAACTGCGCACAAGATCAACCAGAGAAGTCGCGGCATTTACATCCCACTTATTATGGACAGCACGAAAAATAGCTTCGGCATTTTGATCCCATAATGCACGCTCTTTATTGCGCAAATTTCCAGCTACATTTCTTCCGCGATAAAACGCCTAAGATAGATCATGCTAAGACTCACCGATCAAGCGACTAAATAAGTTTAAATAGGTTCGAAAATTACCTGTATCTTTACAGCTGATTTCTGACGCAAACGCTCATTATCTCGTTCACGACGTTGTTCCTTATTCTTTTTTATAAGAGTTGACTTATCCTCTTGCACTCTCTGGCCTCCAAGATTTATCTTTGGACGTGTTTTAAAATTGCCTTCGAAAGTATTGAACATTGCACTAGAATGACGATAGAAGTTTTGAATTTTACGACCTAGTGATTACAAAATACGGTTTTTTTTTATATTGTATGCCGTATATACATGACACACAGCATAGAAGTTTTACGAATTTCTACCAATACGTAAGATATCTTAATTCAGTAATTTAGAATGTCAATTAATATGGATAGGTCCGAAGTGAAACGGGCCAGGCCGGGCATCGCTGGGCACGACCCGGCCCAAAAAATCATGGAATATCGGACATGTTCGGCTTTATTTGTCATTGTCTAGATTGTCCTTTTGAAAATTACATTTTTGTCGCTATACTGCCGCTGTATCAAGAAAATTTATATCTATATCTGTACTTATTGAACAATATATATCGATATATTGATCTATAGGCTATTATGAGTGCTGCCAAAGGAAAATGTCCCTTCGGACTTTCAATTACATTTTGACCGGACAGATTCTACTTTATTAAGGATTGTGTCCGGTCAAAATGCAATCGAAAGTCCGGATATTTTCCCTTGGCAGCACTCATATACTACAAGTCAGTCTTTTTTAAATGATGCAATGTCTTTGACCACTACTGTCAGAAGTTTAAGGGATAAATCCATAGAATTTAGTTAAGCTTAGAATCTTGTAATAACGATAATATAATTCAGTTTGCAATAATTATACTGTATTAACCCGCCAGAAAAAAAAATGTCTTGACTTCTAATCTTTGGCGTTGGTGCATATCATTTCAAATGTGAAGAATAATAAATATGGAATTATCTTTAGTCGTTTTCAATGAAATAAGTCGTTAAAGACTCAGCAAAATTTCGTAATTTCCTGTTCGGATAATTTGGCTTTCCTTTGCTTCCGTGTACGAAATCATGGCATCGTGTGTAAGGACAATATATTAGTGATTGGAGAAATAATAAATTTAATAACTAAAAACGATTTATGATTGGTGCATAACCACATGACTAAGACAAACGTGAAATACTTAAATTAGTTTTTAAAAACTCAAAGTAGCAAAAAAAACTGCAAGACCATTAAAAATGCCACCTTCACCGAAAACTCCACCACATGAAATACTATCAATTTGTAAAAAATATTTTATAATAGGGTTTTTCTTTTTACCTTGGTTATGGGTCATTAATGTCGTTTATATGTGGCCTCTAATAAAACGAGAAGACATTGGTACTCAAATTAAAAAATGTAAGTTCAACTAATAATAT